ATCGTGGTCGACTCAGAGGAAGGGTCTCAACAAGGGCGACAGCACTGCGACGAGCTCCCGCTCCCCTTCAAGATCGCCTTTTCCCACCTCAGCATCCACGAGGCCGCAACGAAGGTGAGGTCCTCCAGCTCTCACCGAGTAGAACGAGCTGTCCGGGCGCCCACTCGGTGGAGGCAGTGAGGAAGACCATAGCTCTTGCTGCAGAGGTGAGCTCGCATCTACTCTTCCTTTCTTGCTTTCCTTTATTTCTTTTGATCTAACCTCAAACTTTTACAGCTGCACTACCATGCCTGCCTTTAGGCGTCGATGATGAGCTTGGAGCTCGGAGGGCGGGACTTGAAGGAAGAGGAGACAAACTCCTCCTATGAGCGGCGGATCGTCGAGCTAGAGGCCGCGGTTAACCAGGCTCGAGCTGAAAAGGAGGCTGAGGCTGACAGGTCGAAGGCCCTAATAGCTCAAGCTCGCAATGATCTCAAGAATGCCTGGGGAGGAGCTGAGACTGCGGAGAAAGGGTGGAATTAGGCTCAGCAAAATCTGGCAAGCTGGGCCTACTTGGAGAAGAAGATAAAAGAATTCCCTGAATTCGACGGCCTGACTCACGACCTAGCGGACAGTGGCTTCTACTATGCCTTCAACAAGCTCGACACCGCTTGCCCGAAGGAGGCCGTTGCCGCCGTCGGGAATATGAGTCTATCTGGGCCGACCGCCCCACTGAAATCGGTAAGGAGGCCGCGATTACTGCGGTCACTGCGGTCGCTGACGCTGACGCTGGAACCAGCAGCCCTGCCGACCTTCCGCAGGAGTAGCTCGTCCCCTTCTTCTGTTGCTTCTTCTGCTTTATTATTGTTTTCTTCAAATCAAATTGTTGTACCGAGCCGAGGCATACATACATCAGCTCTTCATCAAACTTTCGATTTCAATGAAAACAAACTTCGCCCAGACATGAGTTGTTCTCTCCGAGGTCCTTACACTTAGAGAAATTTAATTAAATTTCAATTTTAGTTTTGGTTTCGTTGTTTGAGTTTCTCAAGTCTTAATAATTGCCTTCCTACACAACGGCTTACGAGCTTAACAGTTCAGCTCGGCGGTGTGTTCAACAGAAATATTTGGGATAACTAGGTTCCTTCGAGCTGACCATTGCTTCGCATGTTTGTAAAAACACAACTTAGTGTAGGTCTTTTAGCATAGGTCATACCACGTAGTCTTCCTTGGCCTCCATTTGACGTAGCTCAGTAGTAGTAGGCGACACTAACGAATAAAGTCAAATTTTGCACAAGTCATTGGAGATCGACTTCCATTAACGAATAACATTTTACACGTCGGATTACATACATCTCATTGATAATAAACTCGCAAATGTTCGGCATTCCATGGGTGGGGGAGTTGTCTCCCGTTGAGGTGGAACGACAGATACGCTCTAGGGCGGAGTATCTCCAAGACTCTGTACGGACCTTCCCAGTTCGGTTGGAGTGCTTCGACATGCTGCATTACCTTCTTGAGGACGAGGTCGCCAGGCTTGAACATTCTGACTTTTACTCTGGCGTTGTAGTACCAAGCCATACGGTTATGATATTCTGCTAGTCTGAGTTGGGAGTGAGATCGTTTCTCCGCGAGTAGGTCAAGATTCACGAGGAGAGCCTCGCTGTTGGTTTGTTCGTTGAAATTCTCAACTCGGGGCGTCAACATGCCAATCTCCACAGGAATGACGGCCTCCGACCCTAAAGCTAAGTCGTATGGCGTCTCGCCAGTAGATGGACGGGGTATAGTTCGGTAGGACCACAACACCTCCGGTAGCTCTTCTGCCCACCGATCTTTCAGAGATTCCAGCCTCGTCTTCAGACCACGCTTGATGATCTTGTTGACAGCTTCAATCTGCCCGTTGGACTGCAGATGGGCCGGAGACGAGCTGAGGTGGTGTATGCCGAGCTGTTGACAGAACTGATTAAATCATGCACCGTCGAACTGCTTTCCATTGTCGGTAATGATGGCGCTCGATATACCGAACCGACATATTACACTCTTCCACACAAAGCTGATGACCCTTTCCTCAGTAATAGACGCCAGAGGTTCCGCTTCCACCCACTTGGTGAAGTAATCTACAACTACTATGGCAAACTTCAACTGCCCCTTTTCCCGTCGGTAGTGGGCCGATCAGATCTATCCCCCTTTGAGCGAAAGGCTAAGAGCTTGAGATCGGTGTCGGCATCTCCTAGGGTTGTCTCAAAATGCTCGAGAAACGTTGGCATTTGTCGCATGTCTTGGCGAACTCCTTGGTGTCGCGTTCAATCGTCGGCCAATAGTAGCCCTGGCGGACGACCTTGGCAACTATGGACCGAGCTCCTCCGTGGTTTCCGCAAACTCCTTCGTGAATCTCGCGTATAACATACCTCGCTACCTCTGGGTCGAGGCACCGCAGTAACGGTAGAGAATATCCCCTCTTGAAGAGCTTGTCTTCTTGCATCAAGTAGTGAGCAGATTGACATCGGAGCTTTCTGGCCTGGCTCGGATCAGTAGGGACTGAGCCACTGACCAGGAAGTTCTTAATCCGGTCCATCCACGTAGGCTGAGCTAACTGGACCTTCATTACTTCAGGTTGGTCGATGAACGACTCGGCGAGTATTTCAATTGGAACCGTTCTCGGTAAGTCAGTCTCGTAGGCCGAGGCTAGGCGAGCCAGTGCGTCGCGTTGGAGTTGTCGGACCTCGGCACCTGTCGAATCGCATAGTCCTTAAACTGGGCGAGGAGCCCTCGGGCTTTGGCCAGATACCTCTTCATACAAGCATCTTTCACTTGGTACTCCTCGGTAACTTGATTGACGATCAGTTAGGAATCGCTGAGAATCAAGAGTCGCTTCACGCCCATTCCTCTGGCGACTTTCAGTCCATTTATCAATGCTTCGTACTCGGCTTCATTGTTGGAAGCTCAGAAACTGAACCGGAGTGCGTACTCGAACCGAAGACCACCGGGGCCGAGGAGCAGCATGCCTGCCCCACGACCCTTCTCATTGGACGAACCATCAACGTAGTGTGTCCACTGGTCACGGACATCGCTCCCTTGCCTGGGTGGGGTCAGCTCGGCAACAATGTCTGCGGCTGCCTGACTTTCAACGCTGTTCTGGGCTCGAAGGCGATGTCATGCTCACTGAGCTCCATTGCCCACTTTATCAGTCGACCCGACGTTTCGGGCTTGTAGAAAATCTGCCTCAAAGGGAAGTTTGTCAGAACGATTATCTTGTGCTCCTGGAAGTATGGTCGTAGTCGACGCGCCGAGGTTGCCAAGGCTAGAGCCAGCTTTTCAACACAGGGGTAACGGGTCTTCGCCACGGTCAACGATTTACTTGTGTAGTAAACAGGGTTCTGCCATCCCTCTACCTTCCTGATAAGTACTGAGCTCACTGCATTTTCCGACACGGCCAAGTACAAATAGAGAACATCGCCAGGTAGCAGCTTGGACAACAACGGAGCCGAGCTGAGGTACTACTTCAATTGCTGAAGTGCTGCTTTGCCATCGTCGGTCCATTCGAATCGACCCTTTTTCCTTAGCGTTTGGAAGAAAGAGTGGCACTTGTCGGTGGAGCGAGATACGAAGCGATTCAAGGCTGCCAAACGGCCATTCAACCTCTGTAGCTGCTTAATATTCCTCGGTGCATCCATCTCAAGGACTGCTCTTATCTTGTCCGGATTTGCTCCAATTTCACGTTCGAGGACCATG